CAGGATTTTGAGTTTATTTCTTGCTCCCTCCCCTTTAGAAGATATATGAGCTTTACCAAATACTTTTAGACACGGGAACACAGGGCTGTCTTTTAAATGCTTAGAGTGGATAAAGACAAAGAAATCCAATGAGCTGTGACAGCCATATAACCAGTCTGTGCTGGCTGATCCTTGCAATATGTCTGTGGGTAGATATGCAGCTCCCCCTGTGCCTCCCCGCGGGCTCTCCTGCCCCGTGCTCAGAACACAGCCTGCGCACTTTGGACACTGCTGCAAGCTGAAAGGAACGTGGGAGCACTTCTCTGATTTGGACCTGAGCATTTAAAGGTTGTCACAACACTCGTTCCTCTCACTGAACAGGGGAGAATTGTGTTCTTGCAGGCTGGTCCCCTCTGGAGTGCTGTTTGGCACACAGCTTTTTGTTCCACTGCGTGGTTTCAAGGTGAACCCGTTAATTCAATATGACCCTTTTAAGAAGTCCAAACATTACATGCTGCAAGAGGGAAACAAAGCACTTAGTGGTATGAATCATGTTTTAAGATGGAGCAGAGGTGGTGTTTGTGTTGCCCCAAACAGTTCCATTTTCAGTGGAATGAATTTATCTTGGGAAAGCTTTGGGACACATTACACCTAATTGCTTTTTAAATTTCAGTGATTTTGGCTTTGCTTTGGGGGAAGGGGGATCGTTTGGCTGGCCTAGGAGGCTTGTGACTGACTTTGCCTGGCCAGATTATTTGAATTACCTTGCCAGTTTGGACTATCCTTAAAACAGTGCTTTTGAACAGTCTGCCCTTTTTATCAGGATAAGCCTTTGCTCCTGAAGCTTTTCCATCAGAGCTCTTGCCCAGCTGCTCCTGGGTCTAAAGCATCTCCTGACAATGTCCTGGAAGAGGACATAGAGAACATGCTGTCTTGGGTTGCCCTGTCTCCTACAGAGTACTTTCATTTATTTAGTCATTACAGACTGCGATGGTAACGCTGTGATGCAGCAGGAGATTGGAGTTCCAGGTACCTTCAGTCTGGGATCTGACTGGGATTACAGAAGTTGCTCAGAGGGGTGTTTTATTTCCTGGGCTGGTGCAGGAAAACCCCACCATTTTCTTTTTCATTAGCCTAGCACCCAATGGGCAGCCTTGTCTTCATATACCCCGGTGCAACTCATGGCAAGTGTGTCTTGTGATGATTTTTCTGCTGGCTAAATAAGCACTCCTGAATCCAGGCAGCCAAATATGAGGTGAGGGGGCAGACATCCCAGAGATGTTTTCATGTGCTTTTGCTGACATATTTCAGCTGAGTCCTGCAGAACACTGTTCTGACTCAAGAACATATTTTATTGCTATCTGTATTAGACAGAGAGTGCAACAGACACTTAGAAATCCTGGGGGATGGAAGTTCTGTACCTCTCTAAACAGACAGAAATGCATTGACTTTTCAACTGGGCAACACTTAAGCACTGCACCTTTCAACACCTTTTCTCCAGTTGTTACAATATCTGGAATTCTTGCCTGGGGAAATTACTAGGGAACCTCTGAAACATTGTCTGTGGGAAACTTTTGAAATATTATTTCAATAACATTTGGCTTCCTGAAAACTTTAAAATGTGGTTTATACTCAGGAATATTTTGGATACTTTGGTGGTCTGCTCGGTGTCCTGCCAGTCATTACACACCTTCCCCTCTGACCTGTGAGGAGCCATTGACCAGTGGTGCTGGTGGCAGTGGGGCAGCCTTAGGATGGGGAAAGACAAAGGAATAGCTATGGGTGACAAGAAAGACAACATTTTACAGGATTTATTTGTGGAAAGATGGAGCACATGCTCCAAAAATTAACACTTACAAATAAGGAAAGCTGTAGACACTTCATGAAGAGCCATCACATTGAGAGTGTGATGAGAGAGTCCAAAGAGTCCATGCATTGTTGCAGTGAGGCAGGAAGGGAAACTTTTATAATTCATGAGTAGTGAAAGCTTTCTTTACTTCTGGGATAAATATTCCAACCCGTTAGGTATACTTTATATGTAACATTTACATCTTGCTGAGTGATTAGTTTAAACAGCTATTTTTATCCTGCATTTCAGCCCGCAACTCTCTAATGTTAATTAGTATTAGGAAGGAAGTATGTTTTCTTCACATGCCATAGCAAATGTGCTTTATATAATGATTACAGAACTTGTTTGATCTTTTGTTTTTACTGAACACAGTCTACAGCACTGACGGCAAACTGTTTGGTTTTAGTTTTCTTGTGCCCTGGGCTGTTTTCCACTGTGTGAAATTGCTGAACTTTTTTTTTTTAGGTGTTTTTTTTCACAATCATTGAAACTGTTGGAGTAAGATAGAATTTATTGTAAAGGTTCTTTAAATTGCTGTCTTTCAGTGAACAGCTCAAGTAACTCCTGCCTTTCCCTGTTTTGGGCAAGTTTGAGGGGCACAGTTCAAACTGATAATGTCAAAATATTGGACAGAGGTGTTCAAAGGTCACAAAGCTGTTCAGGTATTGAACAAGGAGGGCATTGGGGCTGGGGTAACCAGAAAATACGGACCTTAGTGAATAAGACATTGCCAAATATTTAGAAATCAATTATGTGAAACATCTACAAATTGTGCAAGTAGGGGAGCTTCTATGGTTGCTCCCATTCTGCATTCATGATTGTAAATAAAACAGAGACAGTTTTAGTTGATACATATAGACACAGAAAAAAAAAAGACATAATTATAGAACCTTATGAACGGTTTTTCTTGCACTATTACAAACAGAGGGGAGCTGCTGATTCAAGCCCTCTAGCTCTAGAAAGGAGAGAAGTATGAACCTGAATACAAAATTTTTACTTCCTTTCTTTGGTACTTTGAAATCTTCAGATCTAACACTTTGTCGGAATACTAAATGTCTATAGTTTCTAAAAAGGTTTTCCTCCCAAAATTTCAACTACATAAAAGTATATGGAAGAAACCATTTGTCATTCTATACCCCTATCACAAAAATCAACTTGATGTTTCTCTCAATTAATTTAGAATAAACCAAGTGTATTGTTATAGTTATTTTTAGTTGTGAACCTGTGACTATGAGTTCTGCTTTTCTTAGAGCCAAGGAAAGTGGCATAGTTCATTGTAAACTGTTACATCCCAGGATCAAACTACTGATCCAGCATTTCAGTGTGCAGAAATTAGTGGATTAAGAGCCCATGAGGCTTTTAAGGACTGGACTGGAACTACTCTACAACTTGCAACTCAGCTCTACATTGATGGACTGAACTGATTTCTAACAAAATGCACTATATTTTGCATTTCTCTGGCTATGGATGCCAATTCTAGTTGGGAATCACCAGATCTGTGGTGTTTTTTCATTAATTAAACTAAATTCAGCATTCCTACCTGAAACACTGAGGCGTCATTACTACTGTACAGCCTCCACATCTGTAGGCGTTCAGCACTGAGATTTCTAAAAGAAAATGAAAGAATTGTTTAGGGTGTAGGAGAAGGAAGGTAAAACCCACAAAACAACCAAAGAGAAAGAAGGGCAAAGGGCAGCAAGAGGAAAGGATGAATCCATCACTGTGAGGGTTGTGTGTCCTACCTCTGCCCTGACAGGTGCTCAGTCAGGGCTTGGTGTTTCTGGGGTCGGATCTGTTCTTTCAGGGCATTTCAGAAAGCTCAGTCTGCTTCAGAGCCATGGCCTGGGGTTCAGTGTCCCACTTAACCTCCTGGCAAGATGGGTCAGTTGGGACACGGACTGAGTGCCCCACAGGCCCAAACCCCTTTCCCTTCCCTCGCAGCTGCTCCCGTCTTGCTGCCGCCCTTAAAGCGTGAGTTCATGCGGCTGATGCTCTAATGGGGTGAGCTCTGTCCCTGTGCCCCAGCCCAGGTTGTGTTTGTGCTGTTTTCCTTTGACTGAGTGTGGAAGGAGAGGGGAAGGCCCGGCAGGACGGGAGCGGGAGAGGAAAAGGCCCGGCAGGACGGGAACAAGCGCTGAGGCCTTGCAGCCGCGGCTGAGCCGAGCCATCAATAATGCAGAATGAATTCCTGCTTCCCTCGGAGCTGAGGAAATAATACCCAGCTGGAATTGAGCAGTGCCAGGGGACACAGCACCCTTGAGACGGCAGGGCTGCAGCTCCTCAAGGGGAGAGCTCGGAGAATTGAGTTTCTCCCTGCGTATGTCTGATTTCTTCTCCTGCCCACTAGAAAATTGAGAAGTCAATTGGCCTTTTATTGTTGGGCTTGAAATGACTTTTNCTTTTCAATTAATGTTTTATTGAATTTTGAGAAAGGTAGATTTACAACTGCCACCGCAAAGGAGGGGAGAGAGAAATAAATATAAAACATTCAGGCTGGGCTGGAGCCTGTGCTCCCCCGAGAAAAAGCCCCTTCCCAGGTCTCAGGAGCAGCCAGAGGTGGCTGGTGGGAGTCACTGGTGTGTGCTGCACCTTGTGGGGGTGTTCAGGTGCTTTTTCTATCTGAGGGTGAAGCTGCAGGCTAATGCTGCTATGGTTTGTTTTTTTTTAAGTTCCCTTGCCTTGTCCACAATCATTTTACCTGGAGATTGTGCAAAAGCAAAGAACACTGCTCACACTCACATACAGCAGTTCCTGTGTGAGTAATGATTTGTGGAGATACCAGCCATTGCTCCAGCCCTCGTGTGAACAAAAAGATGTACAGGAATAATTGTGGCAAAAGCAAATTAAAATAGTGACACTGAGATAATTGTGGCGAAAGCAAATTAAAATAGTGACACTGAGAATCCAGTTTGATTGTAAACTCAAACATTTATGAAAGTCAATTTACAAGTGTCTATAATTATTGGTATTAACACACAGTAACAATTAACTGCAGCTGTTTTCTATAGCAGGAAAATCTTGTGGTAGCACTCAGAAAAAACAAACTCAGGTCACCTTGCATGGAAAAGCATTGAATCCAGAATAAGCATTTCATCTGATTTTAATAAATGTAATCCTGGCTGTTATGACCTGTGCCATCTGTAACATTATGCAATGTATCTGTTACGTACAGGAGATGTGACATTGTGTGAGGAGGTGGCAGTGATGGGACAGCATCTGATAGCTCAGCTCTGCAGTGTGGTGGCAGCATTCTTCTGCAATAGTAAGGCCTTTATTTGTTTTTAAGATATGGATTAATTTGCTTTGGCCTCAAATCCCTTATGTCATAGGTTCTGATACTGTTATTTAATTTTCAGTTTACTCTGTTTTTAAAATGGCCACAAGTGAGGCAATAACATTTTCAAGCTAAAAACTTTAGATTATAAGAAGTTCCAGACATTTTTGAGATGATGTGATACAACAATTTGCTATGGATGAAAGTCTGGCTTCCACTTTAACAAACTGGAATTGGAAAATATTTCTTACTTTTTCACATATTCTACATCAAAGCAAAAATGGCTGTGATTATTTACCAAAAATTGGAGGCATATGTCAGGTTACAGTCTCCTAAAGGACTCTAATATTCAATAAGAAAATAAATTGGTTTCATCTTAGGTTACATGGTAGATTCTCTTTGTTTGAGCTGTCATTCTGCCCTGTTTTGGCAAGTTGTGATTAGAAAACTATTACTCCTCCCTTAAGTTCAGCTGCATACCTGAAAGAGTGTGGGCAGGTTAGCCAGAGCTGCTGTTGCTGTCCATGAGAGGTTCTCACACATCTCCTCTGCACTCGAGATGTTTTGCCAGCACACATCTCTGCTGTTTCGTGATTACATTTGGAAGCTGGGCAGAAAGGGGAGGCTGAAGATTCCCTGGCCTCCAGTGTTTTATGAGGACATCCTTCTAGCAATCACTGCCTGTGTGGGGTAAAAGCAGGATTTTTCTCTCTTGAGACAAGAATCCAGCAGCTTTGCCAAGAGCACAACCATCTCCTCCAAGCATTCTGCTGCCTCTGGGCCAGGAGACGCTTCTGTTGTCCAGGGAGGGAGGAGGAGGTGGCAGTGGACCCTGAAGCTCAGCCTGGGCACCAGGCTGTCTCTCCAGGCAGTGCCAGCACAGCAGTGCTGTCCCCTCCATGACTGCCAGTGCCCACACTCCTCACTGCAAGATGTTCTCCTGTGTGAAATGAACTGCTGCAAAATGTGGGTTGTGCCACTAAATCCCAGAGAACAGTCTTATTTTCACTGCACTGAATGTGAAAGAAGTCCAAATGTAGAGTAAAACCCTGAGGTTCCCTTTTAGGCCAACCTTATTTGATTTTTTTATTCTCATTTTAAATGGAGCTTGAGTGGGGTTTTGTACTCTCTGCTAAAAAACTTTGGAGCCCTGTAAAACTGTGATCTCTTCACATGGTTTTGAATGGCCTTGCTCAAACACAGAAGGCCATTAGGAAACACTTCCTATCTGCTTTTCTGCCCTCCTGCCTTTAGGGGAAGTTCATAATTCCTGCAGCCCCCAGAAGGTAGGGTTGCCTGAGCTCCTGTTTAGGAGCTGCTAGCAGGTAATTCAGAAGCAAGGCTTTCATGAGCCCTCCTGACAAATTTCAGTATTTTCTGGCAGTGTTTTTCTCTGCATAGATGCTGCCACAGGGACCTTTCACTTGTTGAGCCAACTAATCACCAATCTTTATGTGATTCCCTCACAGAAGCCAGATTTGCTTATTCTGATGACTCTGAATATCACCTGACACTCCCCACGTTAGATTGGTCATACATCAGTACAATTCTGTGTGTTTTGCTGAAGTGTGTTGAAGGTTAAGATCTGAGACACGGAGCCATTCACTGTGTTTAGGAGGCAGGATGACTCTTGGAGTTTCTCAGGGCATGTTTTTCCTGGGCCTACAGCAAACCCTCACTGCTTGTTTGGCAGGCAGATTGTCTCAGGTTTTCTGGACAACAGCTTTGTAAGGCATTCAGGTGTTTTTAAAATGTGCTAACCAGGAAGTTCAGAAAATTTGGTGAAAATTATGGCTGCTCAAGAAATATTAAGACTTCTTCTGGATGTTTTATGAAGCTTCAGTCTTGCTGCTTTTGTGGTTGCTTGAATCAGAATTGTTCTGAAGGCAAATGGAAAGAGATGAAAATAATATGACAGAGTGTGCTGCCACAAAAGATTTCTAATAATGGTGCTTGTGTAGTAATAATGACATTGGGGCTCAGACATGCAGCACTGAGGTCAATGGGCTGGTAGAGAAATCTGCCTCATTTCATAACAAAATACTTTTTTCCCCATAATTTCTTTCAACAAGAGTTGATTCATATCATGCCATCACTACTATCCTGTGCTTTAGTTCAAGCACCACAGAGCATCACAGAGGGTTGCTCTGCCCCTGTGCACTCCATGGAGAATTTGTACATTCTTCTTCTGTGGCCACTTCCCCTCATCTCAAATGCAAACTTTAGATGGAGAAATTAATGTTTTGGTCTTTTGTCTGCAGAAAAAAGACTTATCAAGCTAAGCCATTAAATGTTCATGCACTGAAAGAGATTTCACTTTAAATAGAATGAAGTCCTGGTGGAATTTATTGCACAATATTGTCTCCTTTTGTTCACTTTGTTAAAGATGGAGCCTTGTGCTATAACTCCTTTCCTTCTGAGCCCATTTTAACTGCACATGAAATAGCACATCTGAGGTGTGGATTTACCTTAGTCCATCAGCTGTGTACATGCTGCTGCTGTGTAACCCACTGGTGAAGTTGGCATGATGTGTTACCATGATTTGTAAGGAGGATACAAGTATTTGTGTAGGTTTCCCTCATTTGGCCTGGAAGTTGTACAATCAAAGGTCCTCTGTTTAATAGAGCAAACAAAATTTATATATGTACTGAAAGGGAAAAAAAAACTTTATTTAAGTCCTCTATTTATGCCTTTTCACCCTTTGACCAGCTCTGAAACAATGACTGTATAGCACTAATATGTGGCAGTATTCAAATTTTATTGGGGGAATATTTACTTTTATTTCAAAAGTAAGTATTAAACATCAGGGGAAAAAAAAAGAAAACCCCTCTGCTGGACTGATGGAAAATTTATGGCTATATAAATGAAAATATCAGCTAAACTTTACAATGACAGAGAGCTTGGTTGGTTAAAGCATGATGTGAATAATGCCAAGGTCATGGGTTCCATCCCCATATGGGACATTCACTGAGGAGCTGGCCTTGATGATCCTTCTGGGTCTCTTCCAAGTCAGACTATTCTGTGATGTTATTTAACAAGCAGGACAGCTTTAGAATTTTCATATTACTACACAATATCTGCAGCTATGCATACATAAAAGCAGAAATCAGAGTTATAGTGGCTTGTTTAAAAAGCCAATTGGATATCAGAAGGTAATATTTAAAATTGGGGTCTGAGTTAAGACTGTGGTTTAGGTGTTTTATGTTGTGGAATGCAATAGTTGTACATTTGGGGTGAAGCCTGAGATACAAAGTGCAGAAGCTGGTTTCCCACAGAACAGCCCCTGTAAAACCTACAGATTTATTTGTGTAGTGTGTTCCTCCTGTCTAAGGACCTAGTGTAGGCACTTATGGGATTTATCTCATTATGAAATTACTGACATTTTCTTTACAATGGCAGAAAGAAATTGTCTTTGGGCTGAGATGATCAATATTTGGGTCTGAGGCTTATGTGCAAATCTACTTTGGCAGTAGTCACTATTGTGCTGGCAGTTGGTGTCTGTGCCAACTCACAAAAGGCAAAAGGACAATTTTTCTATTGTATGTGGACATGGGTTTCACAAATCGAGATGAGTGATGGAACCAGCAGTAATGGAGCCTCTGTCTCTCTACAGAGCATTTGCTCTGCAATGAGCAGATCTTTGATAAAGTTTAATCAAAGCAAAACTATTCTGAACAGAGCCCATTAATAAGACAAAATATTTGTGAAAAATGTTGGTTCAGTATTTTACAAGCAACAGTAACCAATTTATTAAACACTTTGGGATCCTCCTCCAGGCAATCTAAACAAATCTGTTATGCTGGGACTGCAGGTGAAGAACAGCTGATCTCTGCCATCAGGCTTGGTGCTCTTCCGTGTATCTGGGCAAGAGCAGTGGATTCAAGGAGTTTTTGTGGGGAAGGGATAGTGTGAAAAGTGAGGAGTAAGGTCAGGGCTTGGCTTTTGTTACCTCCTGCATAATGTGTAATGAGAAGTCAAAAAAAATCCTGTTGTCCTCACACAGCAGGAGCAGGGCAGGGGCTCTTGCATGGTGTTGCTTTATTTACCTGTGGAACAGGGCTCACAGCCCCGTCACAGCACAAAATCTGGGCTTCCCACTACAGCTCATAGGAGCTGTACCTATAGGAACACTGGCTTTTGGTGGCCACCAGAGCTGTGGATGAGCCTCCCCTACAGTGGGTGCCACGTCCCTGTCATGGGCTCAGTGTCCCATCCCTGCCGTGGGCTCAGTGTCCCATCCCTGCCCTGGCTCAGTGTCCCATCCCTGCCCTGGCTCAGTGTCTGTCCATCCCTGCCATGGGTTCAGTGTCCCATCCCTGCCCTGGTTCAGTGTCTGTCCATCCCTGCCCTGGTTCAGTGTCTGTCCCATCCCTGCCATGGGTTCAGTGTCTGTCCCATCCCTGCCCTGGTTCAGCGTCCCATCCCTGCCCTCGTTCAGTGTCCCATCCCTGCCCTGGCTCAGTGTCTGTCCCATCCCTGCCCTGGTTCAGTGTCTGTCCATCCCTGCCCTGGCTCAGCGTCCCATCCCTGCCCTGGTTCAGTGTCTGTGACATCCCTGCCCTCGTTCAGTGTCTGTCCCATCCCTGCCCTGGCTCAGCGTCCCATCCCTGCCCTGGGTTCAGTGCCACATCCTGGCCATGGGCTCAGTGTCCCATCCCTGCCATGGGTTCAGTGCCACATCCTGGCCATGGGCTCAGTGTCCCATCCCTGCCCTGGCTCAGTGTCCCTTGCTAGCAGTGACTGTGCAGAGCACACCGAGTTCACGGCTCCTTGTAGCGCACGCTTCAGATGTACAGTTAATATCCAGCAGATACGTGGGAAGGCAAGCAAGCTACCTTTCATCTCGTGTTTGTAACACAGAAAACCTTCAATATTGAGAACAGATAGACTGGAAGGTAGGTTCACATCTCTCAGCAAGAGAGCTGTAACTTAAATCTAATACACCTGATCAAGGCTTTCTCTCTGCCTTGTAGGTATTTTAATACAAA